ATAAAAAACAAAGATTCTATGTATTTGCTTCTCAGAGGATAGAGATCAAGATATATTCTGATTGTTTTAGTTAAAAAATAACACTGCTTCTAAACATCCTCTAGCATATCTTTGACATTTCTATACTATAATATCTTGTAATTTATTGGCAGAAATACAGTATATTTTGATAGAATGTATCCGTGAGAGCCACTCAGCAACTGTAGCAAACATATAGGTATGGCGTGTCCTGTATAAATCAAACCTAAACAAAGCATGCACAAAGCAAAGCCTTGTGATTCGAGGGGTGATCCCTGTTCAGGCCTGAAAACGGGCTAAACATCACGGGAGCATAGTTTTGAGTTCATGTTCATTTGTTTCTCATGTCAGCTGAAAACAGATGAGCCATCTCACAGTGTAACACAATGTTGTGTGAAAAAACGCCTCAATGCATCCTTTGTTTTAGCTCTGGCCTCTCTTTAGTATCACAAGAGACATTATATACAATAGCCATTCAGTGAATGGACATATTCTTCAGTGTCCACAAGTTATGAAACTGGATCATTTCTCTCTTGTGTTGTTGATATTGCCATTTATTGGGTTCTATTATGTTTTTTTTTAGCCGCTGTGCTTTGTTCCCATCTCTTATCCGTAGTCATTAGCTTATTTTAGCAATTGTGCACCTTTTCAGTACATTGCTCTTGCAAACGGCACCCAATATGCTGAAAACACAAAATTATTAAACAAATGATAAGCTTGTTTCAATGATTTGAGAAACAATGCAGCGTTTAATAATACATGGTCAAAAGTGTGCTGGGCTCACATACTGTATATGGCACAAACAACGAGTGACTGTTGTTCTGTGCCATTTAAAATTAAAGCAACTCTTAACCTGGGTTGTTGTCTAGAAAGAATCCTGTACACTCTACGTAGTAAAACTCCGCTTCTGTGTCCTTGGAGAGGCTGGGTTCCAAAGTCCAGGGTTTCTTGTAGAAATCACCTAAAATCACTAGAGGTCATCAAATCTAAGGTGAAATGGTTTCAGAAGAATCTATTGCTTGCAACATTTAAAGTCAGTTCAACAGAGGGGCAATAGGAAGCATCCTGACTGGACACATTACAAACTGGCATGGTTTGTATGCGGCCCTGGACAGAAGGGCTCCACAGCGGGTGACTAGCGCCTTCTCTGCTGGCCTAAACAGAATCACAAAGTTACAGCTATTTTATAATTTAATAATTTTTCACAAATACACTACATGTATTCTAATTATTTTTCCCATTAGCTTATTTTATCATTGCACAGCTACTGTCTTCCTCAGTTGCTCTGCTTCCAGTGCAGCTTGTTTTAAGTAGAGCTTTTATCCAATCAGATTTCACCTCTGTGTCTCTAGGTAAGAACAGAGGCCCCGCTAGGCTTTTTGTTCTTGTCATTGTTTTAATTACGTTGATTTTGACTATTTGCATTGTCCATTAATGACGAAGCATCCCGTCATGCGAGTATTCATGTATCTGTTTTCTTTTACAAAGCAAGAATTATGGTCTGGAGAAATGGGGATTGTGTGGCGATTGCTTTAGCCCTGTTTGAATCAGTAGGGAGCAGCTACCTAAAGGCTGCAGGGAGAGTTTGTAGCATGTGTGCTGCTGTTGGTTTTCCTGCTAAGCTAATTTAGCATAGTGTGTGTCCCAGAACACACGTGGCTCACCAGAGTACAATGTTGTTCTTCCGTGGTGGGCGTGTCAGACAGCACGTTGTCTGTTACGTTGGGTGGGTTGCCATGTTGAGCGCAGTGGCTCCACCGAAAGAACATTATATTATCCACAATTTAAGCTTCTGCATTTTCCAAATGCACCAGTATTATTCAAACGTATTGTTCGGTTCATAAGCCTCGTACCGAACGGTTTAATAGGAATACGTGTATTGTTACACCCCTAGAAACAAATAATAACCTGTAGCTGTGGCGTCATAATGAGGTTATTAAGAGGTGGTTCAACTGTAGTAGGACGGCACTGAAGGCCCAGGTATAAAATGCACGGCCCGCCATTGCGCTCAAACACTCATTGCCAGACTGTTCTTTGCTATGCCAGACGCTTTATCCCGGACTGATTTCCTGTTGTCGACCCTTCCGGCCCCTGCTCTACCCGTCCCGCCTGACTCCCGGTAAACTCACCAGCCTTCTGTTCCTGACTTGAATTAATTCAGCCTGCTGTTTCTGCTGCTCTGCCAGAGCCTTTGATGTATCAGTCTGTACCTGTTAAGTTTATAATAAAAGCCAATGGTTCCTGGAATCTTGTGTGCTGCAATTGGGTCCATATACAATCCGATACAAAAAATGTCATGTCAATATCATAACTTCTTACATATCTTTCAACTTGAACTCTTACTACTACTAAGTTCAGCTAGCTAGCTTCACCACAGTCACACTAGCCCACTGACCAATCACACCGCACGTTAATGCTGACGTACATGTAGGCCACCTAGACAGCTCTGACATGTCAAAGAATACGCCCAACATGTCAAACTAAAAATCTGATTGATTGAAGATTATGACAATCAACAATATTTTCCCCATTTACTTAAACTGCAAAGGCTTACTAGCGGGCCTCGGGCCTCTGTTCTTACCTAGAGACATAAGGGCGAAATCTGATTGGATAAAAGCTCTACTTAAAACAAGCTGCACTAGAAGCAGAGCAACTGAGGAAGACAGTAGCTGTGCAATGAGAAAATAAGCTAATGGGAAAAATAGTTGTACATGTAGTGTATTTATGACAAATTATTAAATTATAAAATAGCTATAGCTTTTTAGGCCAGCAGAGAAGGCTTTGCTGGCTCTGACGGCCCACCACTGGTGTAAAATCATATCCATAATTTGAAATGTATTCATGTATATTCACATACATAATGTGATATTGACCTGTATCATTATGTTATTCACATCACTAAGGCAGGGTGTTTGTGCTGTTTTAGCCGCCTCAAACTTGTAACCTTTTGACACGCAGGTAAAGCAAAGTTCAATCTTTGAGGCAACTACTTCACAGTTGAGTGTAATGGAAACAGGATGCTCTGTCAGGGGGTGAAAGAAAGGGGCACTGTCAGACAACAATTAGTGGAGTGTTTATTGATTCAATTCAATTTGCCTCAGAGGGGTTTAAAATCTGTACACATGCGACATCCTCAGTCCCAGGACCCTCACATGATCACATATTGTTGACGGGTATAGGGGAAATCAGGAAATATGTACGACGCGAGCTGTAATCTATGACGGCCAAGGAATTAGGAAGGGACAGGGAGTCTTAGTTTCGCTCTACATAAATATGCACAACTCAACAATATGAAAACATGCACTACTCAACTATATGAAAATATGCACAACTCAACCAGACTCATGTTCTAATGGATGGGGGGCAAGAGCCGGTCACAGTGACCTGCTGCCACTGGCGTTAAATCAGAGGAAGACGAGTGGGGAAGGAGACGGTGATTAATCAAAACCCTCTGTTTTACATGTCCGTTCTACACGTTGTTGCATGTCTATTTAGGGGCCTAGAGACAGAGAGCAAGGCAGGCACCTGGGGAGGGGGGAGACCCAAGGGACCGATAAAGTTACCCCAACCTAGGGCAGAATGGGGGTATGAAGTGATCTACAATGCTATTGTGAAGTTACAGTAGTTGATTCCGGACAGCTCGGTTTACTTGTACACTGTGATGCAGATAAACCTGAGTGAACAGAAGAAAAAATCCAATCTCTCTTGTGGTCTGTGGGTGTTCGTTACTGAGTTCCTAATAGTGAGATCCTGTGGTGTCTCACCACGAGTCGGATAGATAACAGTTATTGAGTTAGATATTGAGTTTTAACAAAAGTCATAAAGTCAAAGAAGCTGATCATCGACATCGAAAATCTATTTCAAAAATAAGAAAAATCCTATCTTCATTTTAGAGAAGCAAATAAATGATTGTCTGTGTCCTATTCTATCTCAGACCTCCTATCTTAACTATCAATTAGATTTTTACAAGCCATAATATCAATGGCTCTCAATTGTCACTGGGTATATGGCTTGCTATCATGAACAAAAAAGAGGTTGGCTTTAAATGTTTTAATCTGTATGACCACTGGCAGAGCCTCATGCTTCCTTGCAGGCCTCTCTAAGGAAACATGTGTCCTAACTGAGGACACATGTTTCCTTAACAGCAAAAATCCTAAACATCATCCTAAATTGAGTTAAGTCTGGAGGTTTCTGTGATGAGACATTTTGTGTGCCTCACACTGAATAATCAGTGCATACAATCACTATATTCTCACATTATTCCTACACTGATACATTCATTTTTTGAGAATTTATTGGGTAGGATAATACACTAAGCATGTGCATTGTTTACATTAAGTTTAGGAATACATATGGTGAAGTAGACAGTGTGGGGCTATCTAATACTAACTGTACTCCTGCTCTGGGTCTGTATGTTTACAGCAACGATTAGTGGAACATGCTGGTTCTCCTCTTGTTTGGTCTATTAATGACTGAACTAAATGTTAAATAGAAAGTTACGGAGTGTCAGATAAACAGCAATCAAACCGAGTGATTCAGATTGCAATCTCTGCTGTCCGTTTACTGCTCAGCCATTTCAACTGTGCCTTGTAGCTGGAGAGCGTGGCCAGAAGCAAAGCGATCACTGTCTGGAGATTAGTGAGCATGCTCAATGGATTATATGACACAAGTGATTCCAGACATTTCTAATGTCTTGTTGATGTATTTCAGCCACACCATCAGCATCTCGTAGAATTAAAGCTGAATGCAGCTACTTCTACAGTATGTGAAGAAATACAAACTTTTCTCAGCTGCTTTCAAGCCTTCAAGCTGTTTTTTTTTGTATCAAAATAAAACAATTTTCACTTTAATGTGCCCTCAAGTTATGAATCTTTTGAAACTTCTATTTCCTGCAGACGTGATGAAATGCCATCCTGACTTTGCCTCAGCTGAGGAAGATAACAATTTTCCATTAGTAGAAGTGGGACAAGAGAGGAATATCAAGGACGAATGGGAAGTAAAGAAAATAGAAGATAGAAGATGTACGGTAAGATTGAGCTTTTCATTACTGCTGTGCTGCTTTTCATTACTGCTTTATTCACTGTTGCCGTGATACAAAATGCAAAGAGAAATTAGGTATGATGACTCATTAACTGAAAAGCCAGAGGAACAAAAAAACAACAACACTTGGAAGTGTCTCCTCTGCTATTAGATAATTAAATTGCTCCGGCAGTTCTTCGGTGCTTAGTTGTTTTTAAAAGAATAAACAGATTAGTGGGAGGTCTGGCTGCAGATTGCGCTCGCCTCTCCCACATCTAATTGCCACTCGGGACGCTCAAACATGGTTAATGTAGCCTCCCTTGTAAACCTTATTTTGGCTCGTTATGTCACCACAGGGTTCTTATCCAAAGCCAAACGCCTGACCCACCATGGACATTCACTATACAATGCTCCAGCCTCACATACCCTGCAAATGCAAATGAATGAGAAAGCAGTGTGTGGGTGCAGCCACTGTTTTTTCCCCCTCAATACATAACAATGCTGTTATTCAACAGACCTTTCAAAGGATGTTAAAGGTCAGTAATTCCCTGAGCAATCGACGCCCTGCCATAAATTCAATTTATTCTGAGTGGGAATATAAATGTGTTTAGTGCAGAAAAAAATCTAAAGTAAGTATAATCAGAGTAGCGCTCAGCTAAATATAATATGTAAATATTTTTTTAAAGGTATTATACTATATTGATCCCTTTAAGTGGGGAATTTGTCTCTGCATTTGACCCATCCCTGTATATAGGGAGCAGTGGAGGTGCCGATGACAGGCGCCCAGGTTCAGTGTATTGGTCAGGTGCACTTTGACACATGACCCCGTCCCAGTCGAGGATTGAACCGTTGACCTTCCGGTTGCCAGACAACCCTCTTAACCCAGTGAGCCACAGCCATTTGTGTATCTTCAAGGGAGTTTTAATAATACTTTTACTGGTGGGGAAGCCAATCTCAGGCTGTGCATGCAATGCTTTTTAAAGGTCTGTGTGTGTAGAGCTGCGTTGACTCCGAAGACAAAGTGCATTATTCATCCCGCTAATGTCTGCCCTGTGTCCAACTGGTCGTCCTCGCGGCAATTTACTGCACATCCTGACTGTCACGTTCAAAGCACATGTAACTGGCAAAAAAAAAGAAGATATACAGTATCAAGCTTCTAAAGGGACTGGGCCTTCTGGACAAAATAAAGAACTTAAACAGAAGAGAAAAAACCCCCACACACAAACATGCATTGTCCAGTTAACAAACTTCAACGATTGTGCACAATAAAAGCAGGCGGGAATAGAACTGTATTTGTGAAGACCCGTAATTAACATCCTTGCCTCTTTGTGCTTAAAGCCTCCTTTGCTGCATGTAGGAGATAAAAACAAAACAAAACAGGCAGCCTGTTTGGAGGATGTGGAGAACACAATCAAGACAGTTGCCTCTGAGACATTACTTTATACTGCCAGTTTGTCGGTTAATTAGTTCACATTGCAAAGCACAAAAAAAACAGCTATTTCTTTTGTACATAACTTCCCTTTCATTTACCGACCGTATCAGTACGGTGTATTCGTTTGCAGTGAAGTTACTGCGATGCTGCAAACTGCAACACGTTTCGGGGTTTCATTGATCCACCATCCAGAAGGTGTATTTGGATAAGGAACATATAGTATAGTTTCACCACCTTGGTACTGCTGAGGGTTGGGCATTTCCCTTTTCCTGTTGATCATGCACTGGCTTGTAGGAATCTAGAGAAAAACAAAGAAAAAAGCCAACCAAATCATGAGAAAATAACGGTTATATAAAGTGTTGGGCCGAGACAGAAAAACCCCACTGCTGCTCTGATTTTTATGAAAGGTGCACTGCACCTTGTTTTATAAATCAAAGTTTAATAGTCACAAGCAAAACGTCAGTTTGGTAGACTGGGGCTGGGCATCATGGGAATTGTATGCTAGGTTTCTATGGAATGTCAGGATATTGAAGCCTCTTCTGCATTGATTGTAATTCTCATTTTTAACACAATAAGTCCACAAACTGTGTGATGTTACATCAGTTTTCTATAAGGAGAACATTTATTGTTGTCGGCAGTCTGGATCATATTAAAGAATAGGTTTCATCTTATCAGAAAAATATGGTGGCTAACCAGGTATGCTGAAAGAAAAATGTAACCTTGACTCAACTAATGGTTCCCATTCAATGTCTTCAAGTTAAACCAACATAATTCTATTCCAAGTCAAGTGTAACCATTTTACTAAAGATGTACACATAATAGTAGCGTATTGTATTTTCAGGGTTTCTGACCTGTTCATGGAAAACAGTTTGAGGTCTAGTGGATTGTGGATTATTGGTAGAGCCAAGGTTTCTGCTACTTGGATTAATGCGTAATCTACTCATGTAGCTGCATTTTCAGTTCAATTACATTTGATCTGTATAGCCCAATATCACTAATCACAAATTCGCTTCAGAGGGCTTTACATTCTGTACAGCATGTTATTCCTCTGTCCTTGGAACCTTTTTTGGAAAAACCTCCCAAAAAAATAAATCAGTTTAACAGGGAATAAAAAAGAAAGAAATCTCAGGGAGGGCAACTGAGAAGGGACCACTCTCCCAGGATGGGTAGAAGTTTAATAGATGTCATGTGTACAGAAGGAACAAAATAAAACGACAACATAGACAATCCATATGACAGAAATGTGTCACGATCAGGCTTCGCCTTCTGTGTTCTATGTGTGTCTTTGTGTAGCTCCACACCCTCCTCACTCTACCTGTCAGCCACTCCCTCAGCACCAGCCTAACTCCCTTCACCTGCCTCTGATCACTAATCAAGCACTCCCTCATCAGCACAACTCCACTCACCTGCTCAAGCCACTATTTAAAGAGCTTGCGCAGTTAGCTGTTCTGCTCAGCGGCCTGCTCAGCCGTCGCCATGTTGAGAGCTTTGTGGGAACAAATCCTCAATCATGCTCTGAATTTTGAATTTAACAGCGCAACAACAGTTTAAAAGCCTTATTTCACTTTGAAAGATACATTTAGTAGCCTTTGCTTATTTGCTGTCTTCCAAATCTGTCTTTGATACCAGTGGTAATATCGCAAAATAATTTAAAGGTCACGCAGCTGCAGCTGCAGTTTTGGTCTCTTACTCCAGGATATGCGTGTACACATTCAGAACAGCAATAACAGCCTGTAACTTTCCACTTTCCACTTGAGCAAATGTATTGGTATGAAATTGTTCAGGAGTTTAACACACACACACACACACACACACACACGCACAAAAGCTGCAAAATATCTGTTCTTCCTCTTGCTGCTCTGTTCCTCGCTGTACTGCAGGTTGGAATTCTGCCCGACAGGAAGTCACACCTTACGAGCTAAATTCTTTTTAAGATGGAGCTCCTCTCAGACAGAATGTTTCCAACATGGAGGAAGCTCTGTGCTTTTTGGCTGCTGCTGCCTTCAACCCACTGTGCGAGATGGCTAAAAATTGCTGTAAGTAGCTGCATGCACACTGTCAGATCTGAAAGGGGGAATCCCTCCCTCCTTCCTTTCCTCCGTCCCTCCCTCTCTCTCTCTCTCTCACTCTCGCATCTTATCTCCACTCTCACGATGCACAAATCCACTGGTCCGATGCTCCACAGAGGCACTATCCATGTGAGCCAGCTGTGGGAAGGCTTTCAGTCACAGCTGCTGCGAGAGGTGAGTCATTATTTATCTCTGTCTCTCCTCTCATGATGGACTTTACCTCAGAATTTCACCACCTCTTTGCATTCTTACGTTCATTTTTAAAAATTGTCAAAACTGTCATTTATAGATCTGATGTAACACTGGCTAGAAGTGTGAGCAATTTTATAGTGACATCATCATAATTGTTTTTTGTCACTGAACTTGTCTCTTTCTGGTTTACATGGCTGAACATGTTGCAGCTTCATGATATTAATATTAGCTTCATAAGGTTTTTTTTCTTGTTTATTTTCTACTTTTTGTTTGGGGAATGTTGACCAGAATAATCTGTCAAGATCAACTACTAACGGCATCATATGAACCTATAAATCGTACTATATTTGTGTGAATTGTATTCTAAACTTATAAATCCTCACATCATCATAAGGCTATTTTGCACGTTTTACTCTCGTAACCAACAACAATGATTCAAATGGGGTATAAAATGGTTTTTAATAGCTTTTTGTGTGTGATGGACTCGAAGCTGTGCAGCGTGTGCTAATGTGCCACACAGTCTCATGGAGCAAATGAGTGATACAGTGGAAAGTAAGAGACCCCTCATTCATTGGCATTAGGAAAATCTTACAAATGCCATCCCCATTGTGCAGGAAACACTTTCCCTGCTCAGTCTAATTGTCACTGTGCTAACGGTCTTCTGAAAATATAATTTCCTCACAGATTATTCACCACAGTGGCAAAGCAACAGCAGTGTGCATCACGCTGCGTGAGATGAGCTGGCTTTGTAGGCGCTGACCTGAATCTGGTGCCTGATAAACATCCCCTGCTGGGGGAACAAAAACTCTCCTCCTTTCAGCTCATTTATTTGATGTTCGTTGTGTTGACAAGTATGTGCGCTTCTCTGTGGCATCTGCTGAAGAAGAGATGTGTGGCAAGTCACTTTATTATAGCTCATGTAAATAGTGACTCAGGACTCAGCTGGCTTTGAACAGAACATAATTGGAAAACAGCTGCAAGGAACAGAACGGCATCGGTTCAATGTGGGTCTCCAGCACTCTTAATTTGTCAGGTAGTTAATCCAAAAGATGGGCCAACAACACACATTACTATCTGGTATTCTGTTAATAACCGTTTCACTAATGGGTTTCAAGGAAATATCATATATGATGGTATCATGAAATAAGATTACAGAATTTGTATCCATATTGTGCACTCCTAGGTCCTAGTTTGTTCTTTTTTTGTCATCTTTGTGGAAATTTTGACATTGTATGTAGTTATTTTGTTGTTAATTGCATCCAAGTTGCTGTTGGTGGCAACCACCAACAACTAATCACCATTAGACTACAAGCCAAGAAAAGCATAGTCATGACTTGAATGGTGATTAGTATAAGTTTGTTCCCAGTAAATGTATTGTTCCTTACAATCAATGTACTTCTTTAAATTTAAGCTGCATATTTGTCTTTGTAAGGACAATTAGCCTACTTTAATTGAAAAACACATTGAAACACTACTGTTGTGGACCTTAAAATGTTAAGTCTATGCACATCCGGTAACATTAACTATAATATAAGAAACCATAGGGTATCATTATGTGATTCCTTTACTTTCGTATTAAAATAGTTTTCAACTAGCCTATAAATACTACAACAGCACAACATAATTCCTGAATATCAGTTTTGGGTTCCTCAGGACTTTCTGTAGCCCCTTCTGGACACACCTATTGAAAATGGCTGCGTCTCGGAGAAAAAGCAAATGACATTTAATACTGTGTTTGTGATAGCGTAGCCATGGCAACCTTTGAAGAGGTAATTATTAATATAATGTTTTGCTATCGTCCGTGTCATTGTCATTGGATACAGTCGGATCATGAGATTGGCTGCAGATTGAGATTCGATGGATGTGGTGGATCAGCTTTGTGCTGCCCACTCAGATCAGTGTGAGAGGATGCTCAGCGAAGCGCTCTCTGCTACACTGTGAGCTTTTAAAATCCTGACAGACAAAAGGCATTCAGCAGGACTGTACTTCAATTTGAGCAGATTGGAGAATAAAATGCCAAGTCGATAAACTTGCAATTATATAGGCTTTTGTAGATAGTAGTATATGGAGCCCCAAAACTGACAAAATGTATCAAAGGTTATCGGATCATATCACTATCAATCAATATTGAATACATCAAATAATAGGCTACCTTTAGTAATATGAAGTGTAAATAGAAATAAAAAAAAATGTATATTCAAAGCTTTTTATTATTTTACTTTAGCACCAATCAGTTGATAGAATAAATTAAAACCTTTAGATTAGAAAACTTAATTAATCCCCAGTGGGGAAACTCATTTGCCACCCAAAAACTCATACAGACAACACAGTCAACAGTACACAACAGACAAACGCATTACAAAGCATAAATAACACCAGACAATGCCATATAAAACATGATTGACATCAGAAAGATAAAAACCTCTAAAGGTGTTCATTAAAAAAAATCGGACTGGTGCTGGAACGAAAGACCTTCTTATTCGTTCAGTAGAACACTGAGGCATCCTGAGTCTCTCACTAAATGAGCTTCGGAGTCCATTGAAGACACTGTAGTGGATGGCCTTCAAACAAGACAATTGTTTTTAACTTGGCCCTTGTTCGCTTTTCAACAGTGATTTGTATGCATGTGACATCAGTGGAGTGATCGAGAGGACCATGTGAAGTTAAAGCAATGTCATGCTGCGTTCCATTTACCTCAAAAAATAGAAGTTGAAGTGGGGAATCATATCGCATTAAGCCCAATAAGTATAACAAAACACAATGGGGTTTGCTCAAGCCAGGTTAGCAATAACGCATTACGCCAGCATTTTGGGCATACAAACAATGCAGCAACATGTCACCAGATATGAGTTGGACAGTTCTGTATCTATGACTGATTTAATGAGACACAAAAAAGACAGAAGTGCAAATAAATAGCATATTACTACAGATATTTTACTGTTGATGCACGGAGCAGCCATCTTGGATTTTGAGGTTGGGATTGGTGGGGTTCGTCCGACTTTCCGAGTTGGAATCGTTGAAATTTCCGACTGGGAACTCAGAAATTCTAACTTCCCAGTTCAAATGGAAAGCAGCGTATAACATCCATACATTGCATATTGTTGTAGCATCATATTTATAAAAGTCTTGAAACTGTAGCAAAAGTTGGCAAGCTAACACTACTAACTGTAAACGTTCCCAGACACCTTATGCCTTTATTGTCAGAGTATTATTTCAATTGTAAGTTTTACACATGCTCTCGCAACAAACCTCCATTTTCAAGCTCAGCCTTCGCTGACTCATACAGACAAGTCAAGGCTGATTACCAGTTTGTGATGTAGCCAGAAACACGTGGCCAGATCAGGCGGCAACCTCCGGTTCTGCTGAGTGAAGCCGATGCGGAAGTGTCTTAAAACTTGCATTCTCTCCACTGACCAGCGGGGGGCGACTCCTCCGGTTGCAAAAAGAAGTCTGGTTATATAGAAGTCTATGAGAAAATGACTATTTCTCACTTGATTTATTACCTTAGTGAACATTGTAAACATGAGTTTATGGTCTCAATCTCTAGCTTCAAGTCTTCTTCAATACAGCATGATTTTCAATTGGTAAATGATGGTCCGTTTAGAGTCAAATAGACCATAAAGCAGAGTATACTTTAGGGCAGTGATTCTCAACTGGTGGGTCGTGACCCAAAAGTGGGTCCCACTAAATACGGGTCCGCGAGCCTGGAAAAAAAAAAATAAAAAATCCTGTGCATCCTGTGCTTTTATTTTGAAGGTGATTTTTTTTTTTTTTTTTTTTTTTTTTTTTTTTTTTATGCAGCAGAGTGTCGTCTATTCACACTCCTTAGCGATATTTGGCGTTAATGCCTTGTAATGCTAATATCAGCAAAGGATAAACTGAAAACTATACCCCTGTCAAATGACACTAAGTAGATAAATTGAAGACATGTCGGATGACATCAAACAGACCACAGCTCGAATTAAGGCAAGTGGTCATTTTGCATTACAAATGGACGAATCTACAGACATAACAAACAAAGCAGTTTTACTCGTTTAGGTGAAACGTGTGGGACGGGGACTTACAGGAACAATTTCTCTGCACAAGAGAGCTCCCTACACTACGACTGCAGAGGACATTTTCAGCTCAGGTTCAAACTGCACCATCTTTTCATTAAATACATTTGAGAAGTTGAAAATGTTACTCTATTTGGGTCACGGCTTGTCATTAAGGGGTGATGGTGGGTCCTGCAGCCAGACCAGTTGAGAACCACTGCTTTAGGGCGCCATCAAAGACACTACGTCACTTTTCCCTATTCCAAATATGCTAACTTCCGGTTGCAAAGGAAAACCAAGATGGCGACGGCGAAATCGGCAAACTCTAGGCTTCATAACAACAGTCCACAAACCAATGGGTGAAGTCACAATGACTGTCACTTCTTATATACAGTCTATGGGCTAGGTAGATGCAAAGTGCGACCTGCAAAGTGCGTCGGGAAATTGCCAAACAGACTTTTGTTTATTTTGTGACCATTTTGTGGCGAGGCTTCACAATTTTTAGTGGGGCTTTGTGACTGAACTGTTTTTTATCTGTCAGTCTCCAACATGCCTTTTGTGTACAGAAGAAACTGTAGAAAAATTAATCTCACTTAATTAATTGATGTGTGCATAAGCACGGGGTGTTCTGTGGTTATTTTACGATGTGCTGATGCTGGTTGCCAAGAATGTAACCAGCAGATATGCTGTGCGTCATTATGGCTTTATAGTGTGCAACATCACTCCAGTTAGAGACTGCAG